GCTGGAGATCGCTGGCAACTCAAGGCCGTTTGTTTACTACAGTACGTAGTATAATATAATACAAAACAACAAAGCACAACCATTAAATTAAGCAACGGGGATAAGTAACCAATCACCGATCACTTTTACATTTATTCATAATTTTTACTACATACTATAGTAAACAAACGGCCTTGAGTTGCCAGCGATCTCCAGCAGTGTTCGAAGAATCTTGAACGAGACTATACATACAGCATTTAAAACAGTAAATGGTAATCTAATAACTTTGGCAATTGATCTATTGTAGTGAAATGAACCTACTTTCTAAATACACTATGTACTGTACATGTAGCTGTATACAGTACTTGTGTGGTACTGTAAATGTCGAAATAAGCCAAGTTTCAGCCTCTGGAACAAGCACTGTATTGCAAAATATTCTAAAGGTTACACTTAAAAATCTGAATATCAGTTCTCCGATAACTTCTAAAATCCCCCAAAATAGAATTGTCTATACAGTACAGCCCTACACTTCCAATTTTTTAATCATATTGTACAGTACTCTTTTTTGTATTATTATCAATAACCTTATTTATTATGTTACTTGAGTTTTATTTCAGCTATACACATTATATATTAGTTTATAATTGTGGGTTTTGTAATGACCATCAGTTATCCAAAATAGCTGTTCCCTAGCATTTCAGATTTTTTAAGTGCAACCTGTACTAAACTGAACCTTCATGGTTGTTTTAATTAATAAACCAAAACTATAATGAGTACCAATGAAATATAAATTAATTTTCATTAAATTAATTAATACTGATTATATGTTAAGATACCTACTGTAAATTTAACCTGCAATTGCAATTTTAAAATATGTAAATTCATTAAGTTGCCTATTGTATCAAATAATATATAAAAGATTTGGACTTCGTAACCCGGTAAACTGCATTTACAAAACATGACAGTCTTTCTTCAACAATGTATAGAACGAAACTTGACGACAGTTTACAGTACTGTGATTGCAGATTTTTTTGCAATCTTACAGTATAATACTAGAGTTAGTATTTTACTCTGAGAGAGATGTGATAAAACTGGACAGAGTACTATCACATACAGTACTTGTCAGCCTTGACATTGTATTCTGGAGGCAGGCAGAACACTGTCATCTAACACTTGTTATGTGGCAAACCAACACATAATTACAGTACATATACCCACATCCTTGACACTCACCACAGCACTTAATTCACCCTGAATGAGGAATGTCCAATTAAACACTGAATGAGGAATGTCCAATTAAACACTGAATGATAATCCTAAGGAAGTACTCCCTGACTTACAAACCCCTGAACATTAGCTAAAAAATTTATATTAGAAAACAAAAATACTGTACTGCATAGAAAAATAATTTCTTTCAGCATCTATAGGTAAGTATCTAATAAGTTATAACCTACAACAAAAGCCTTTGTACATGCATAAATTTTAGGATTACAAAATGCATCCAACAATTCTTCACAGTAATATACAAAAACAAGATAAAAAAAGTTCAGGTAACTGAGAATAACAATGGCTTTAAATCATCCAATATATTAACAGGGGAATGAACTGGTTGCAGTATTATCATCTTTAGCTCTATAAATCAGTCTGTCAAGTCCACTAATAAAACCTAGAGTACAGTAATGCATTATCGCCTTTAACCTCTCAAATTTATATTTGCTTTGGTAAAACATTTGAATTATCAAAGTAATTTTTCTTAAAAGAAATTACCTTTGCTCCTACAGGTTTAACAGCCGGATTGTGAGATGTCAAACTTTATAGCTACATCAGTCAGCTCTCAAGAATACAATCTAATTAAACAGAAGAATATTTTGTGCAGATTGTACTGCTGGAGCTTATGACCATTTCCACCTATCACCCTTAACTCCATATCACTCTTTTATGGACTGCTATTGTCCAATTTTTCCCATTTGAATGGTACAACCTCTCAATAATTTCTTCATCATATCTAACATCTATTGTATGTACACTTAGAAAAAAAAAAGTACTGTACTGTATTTCAGAAGGGGTCTATTGAATTTTGAACTGAACAATCCTGTTGTGTTGCTAGGGCAGGTAGGTGTAATTGCGAGACATTTCCTACCTATTATGGTAAGCCTAATTTAATTATTTCATTTGAAATATAACATTAGTTCATGAATAACAATATGCCTCACAAGCCTTTATAAAAAACCTTCGTTTGTGGTGTCATTTTGTTTTGCACAAGAATTATAAGGAAAGTTTTTTACCAAGTGTACATGCTGAGGTAACTCACTTCCACAAAAAAAATCTCCCTTTTTACACAACCAAGTGGTAATTGCTTTATAAGTATGGTCAGACTACTGGTATCTATCTGTTTGTAAACTGTATTTAATTCTCCATTTTACAAGGTAGAAGTTGAGCAGCCCTAACAAGACAAAAACTAGTCATACATAGGGTATAACTAGTTTCCTTAAAATAATCTACTAACATTTGTAAACATTATCAGCTTTGCTACTGGTTCATCAGTCAATCTTTAATGCGATCCACCATTACCTCCCCCATACAGTACCTTTCACTGCCCTACTGTACAATTTCTTCAGCAATTTATCCTTCATAATATTTTGTATGCCAACTTTAAATATTATGCTATCAAGCCAGTACCTCTCTCATACCTGGATCAAATTTATCCCACATACTTCTCATATCTTCACTTTGGTACTTTAAGACTGGAGAATATTCCCCAAATATTTCAAATTGAATGACTATCATCACACTTGCTAAATGTTAAAAACCTTGTACCATAACCACCATTTGTAGCCAAAATTTTGCAGGACATTAAAGTGAAGCAGTCACCACTCCATGCAGTGAAAAACTAACAGTTTGCAAAGGGTGAGGGTTATTCATTAAACACATGCTAGTGGGATAGAAAGAATCGGAAAAAAGTTAATGAAAGGACGATGTGGTTAAATAAAAAAAATAAAAAAAAATTGGTAAACGGGCAATTACTTTTAGCGTTAATGTGGCCACAGAAAATAAGCATTAGTGGAAACAGCCACAGAATGTCTACTGCTCCAAAGTGTTTCCATTAATTGGTGAAACACACTGGTCTACAACTGGCAGACCAACACAAACACTGACAAAGTTGCAAAAATAAATATGTAAACTATGTAGTTCCTCAACCAACATTTCAAGTGTAACTGCAAAGTATTCAACATCTAAAGGGTAGTTAAGTACTATCCAGTATGTTTGAGGATGCTTCTACTGCATTTCACTGTAAAAATTGTTAAGTACTGTATATAACCCCTCCACAGTTGATCACCTGATTCAGCAAGTTGTTGCTGACAGATGGTTTCAAGAAGTAGAGGTAAAATATTTTGGATGGCCTTGAGGTCAATCAAAACTCATTTAGGGAATTTTAACCTGATGATTTCCAAATTAAGACAATAATAGGTAAAATATTCAATTAAATGGTAGGGCAAAGGGAAAATCTGATAATGGAATAAGGCTTCTCACTTGGCAGATTTTACCCTTGATGATTCCCAGTGTATACGGTATAGAAACCAGATTAGAAACTAGTCCATTTCTGAGAGAAATCCAGTATATTAGTCTTTTGAAGTGAGGTTTAACTGTAATTACATAACAGACACAATAGTATTTCGAGCTTTTACAGCCATGTAATTGAATGAATAAATGTAGTTATGACAAGTACTAGTGAGGATGTTAACATGACATAAGACTCAAACACTGACACTGTAAGCTTCAGCAGAACTTTCTTACAAGATTTTCTTACATCCTTAATGTGAATTGTATAATGCTAAAGATATATATCACATGTAAAATAACTATATCCCAAAACCACACAATTTTCTGTGATACCAGTAACTGTAAACAGTTCTGTATGATCCATCAACTTAATACTGAGATGGTTTTCTTGATGGAACACAATACCACCAACTAACAATACTTACAATGTACCAAGTATGTGGGAAAAAGTCCCCAAAGGAGTGATGTCTAAAAGATAAAACAACAAACCTGATAATTTAGTAACAACTGGATATGCTAAAAAATTTTACAAAAATAATGGCCATAAATGGAGAACAGTGCACAACAACTCTTAAGTTACAAAAAAGAAAAAAAAAAACATGGATACAGAACTGTAATTATTTTCTGAACCCACAACATTTGCATTTTGCTTTGTAGTTACATCAACTTTAACCACCTGAAGAAAATTAGTTGACCATAAAACTCACTTTCAGGTAAAGTGGTAAATGTACACAGAGGACAAAAGGCTATCTATTAAGATGGTTCTTTAGTTAAACTACAGGAAAAGAAAGATAATACTTTATCACTTCTTTCTCTAGTAAGTGGTACAGGGAGGGCTGGAATAAAAAAGGAATATTAACCCTACCTTCAATTGTTCTCTGCAACAGCTGTGTTCTACCATGGTGTTTCCCTTCCACAACAGCATTGCATCATATAAATATTCTACAACAAGTCAAAGAGATCAGATGGCAATTTCTAATTGTTGTGATTCATTTTATGAATATAGATAACTCCCCATTCCAAGTCTAAATTTCCTGCACAAAGTACCATTCCACCATTTTTTTCTAATTCCTCCCTACAACACTATGGCAGATGTGCTATACCACGGGTTCTCAACCAGGGGGGAATTCCCCCCAGGGGGAGAATTCAGGTTTTCAGGGGGAACTGATACTAATATGGAAAAAATAAAGGATTTACAGTATTATATGCATATTATTTGGAAAGCACTTTTTGAGGCAGACAATTTTGGAAAGGAGGGGGGAATGACATTCTGACATATGGTGAAAGGGGTGCATGGGGCAAACAAGGTTGAGAACCACTGTGCTATACCTTGCATAGTCAGACATCACCCCATGGGTTGTTTGAGAAAAAATTTTCCACTGCTTATCATGGTTTCCCAGTAGCCAATCCCAATGTGATCCTCAAGTCTACTTAGCCTGAATGGATATGAACACCCAGCCCACATAACTTTTTTTATTACACTGTAAAATATGCAACAATGGTGACAACAGAAAGAGAGCACTACAGTATTAGTGTCCAGTTTAAAGTAGACTCTTGATTTGCATAGCAATGGAGGTCAAAGGCACAAATCCACATGACATCCAATAATGTAATTAATCCTATATAGAAGAAAAATCTAATTTTAAAGATAATAATAATAACACTTGCAAATTTAAAATGCATTATAATGATATTTACAACTTTTGGTGATGGAGAAACTGAAAACCACCAATGTCCAATAACATGATAACATTAAGAATCTTGGAATTCCCACAGTGGAGCATGTCACCACCCGATAAATAATGTGGCAACATCATAAAGTTTCTCTTCAAACAATTTACCAATGACTGAAGACAATAATAATAATAATATACTGTACAACATCCAAAAACACTGATGTATATGGATTCAAAATATACAGCTTCAGATACATATACAATGAATACATACAAAGAAATACTATACAAAGCTGACTTGGAGATAGAGCTCACTGCTCTCTATAATAACAATACACAATACTGAGTCATGTATTTACAAATGCAGGCACAAACAAACCCTTAAAAATACCAGTTAATATATAAACTGTCTTTTTGTCTTCATATCATTTATTATAAAGAACAGGAAAGGTACTTGGTAGAACAAATTATAACATAACATGGATAAAATAAAATTTTATGAATTTTATACCTATCAGAGAAGAAAAACAAAGATGATAAAATAGCACCTCACACACACACTTCAACGGAATGCAAAGCAGTATACGAGAAGATATTCCCTTGCAAAATTACTACTCCTGCTATTTTAGCCAAGAAAGTGTAATTTAATTTTCCTATCATATACATGATGTGCACAGGTGAATACTGCATTCTTCAAAACAAATCTACTGTATGTGCAACATATAGCAATAACAGTGATTACAATGTTGTCAAACTTTGAAGAAACCACCTGTCATTATTCTTACAAACAATTACACCAGACTGCAATTTATTCCATAGCTTGCACTGCCTAACACATAAACTAAGCAGCTTTTACAAACCAGAAATAATGGATGGTACAGTAATTAAAAATTTTCATACAAGTAAGTTTGTTAATGTTATGCTATTGAGTCTTGGTTAAAAAGAAGTGTTGAATACAGTGTAAAACCTAAACCTTTTATGGGTCAGTTTAAAGAAACCCCTTTGATTAGATTGAAAATCAGTGTAAGCTCTTGATCACTTTCTGGAGGAAAATATCTTTGGGAAATCAGCAAGAATTCCCTCAATAACACGATTGTGTAGCATGACGTCAGTCATGAGGTCATGAGATGATGTAACTCGTGGCCACAGAAGGCATGGTCCAAACACAATGGCCAAGTTGGAGATGCTCATTCGATTCTCACTCTCAAATTCACTTACTCTGTCAGTGGGGAAAAATTAGAAAAAACAGAAGAGGAATATTAGAAACGTCACTTTAAGCTTTGCACCGAGTTTGAAGTTGAAGAAAAAAGCAGGATACTCTGTTTAATCTAGTATATGACTGACATACAATTACTCCTTACTTAGGTTTTGAAATTTCAGTAATTTTTTCTGTACATCAATGCATGTAAAATTCTTACCCAATTATTTAAATGTTGCTGTAAGACTTAACATTTGAAGGTTTAATGATGGTAATTGGATGAAGTAACTACAGAATTGTTCTTAGTGGGTATCCTTACATGGATAAATCCTCAGGGAAAATAAGGTGCTTACTAGTGATAACACACAACGTTTAATAAAATAAATAAATAAATAAATAAAAACTCTATTCACAGTAGTCTCTACACTGTGTCCATGATTAGTAATACTCTGAACCAGACCCATTCTAATACAGTACAGTAAAGCCTCTGATAACAACAGTTCAACCAACAACTTTTCATATTTAAGACCCAAGTTAATTTAGGACCCAATTCAATTTACGTCCTTATTTCATTCGTATTTACGACCGAAATATAATAAAAATAAAATACAATTACATTTTCATGTATATAATAAATAAATCCTGATATGTATTATAAAAAAAAAATTACTGTAAAAAAAAGAAGAGCGCCTTGTGCAAAGAAGCTGCTTGGCTAATGAGTGGTAAATTGGTAATGCGCATCACCAGTAAACAACAGTCGGAGCTTGGCAGTCCCTTTGTTTTCATACATCTGAACAGGAAAAGGAGAAAAACTTTCTCAAGTTTCTTACAGCATTTTGGCATCCCTATTCAACATGAGCAAGAGAGGAAGTGATGGTAGTGTTGTTTCAAAAGCTAATAGAAAGTGTATAAGTATAGCCGAGAAACTAGATGTGTTAAAACGGAATGAAAAAGGTGAGAGGTCTGTGGATATTATATGAAGCAAGCAATGCACATATTTTCTGAAGTGGATCCATTAACAGAACAAAGCATTAAAATTTAAATACATGCAAATAACCTCTACATAAAGATGTATAATGAGAAAAGAAAGCAGCTATGCAAGGTTCTTTCGACATCTTTATTATTCGAAGGCCTAAACCATCAACTTCAGCTACACCATCAAATTCAGCATCATAAGCAGCTTCAACAACAACTTCAGGTTCAGTAGCAGTTTCAGCAACAGTTTTATGGAAAGCTACAGCTTCAGCCAGATGACTTCATCATCTGAGTAAAAACTCGTACAATATTCATTGGCTGTCCTTATGTTTCAGACTTTGCCACCATTGGTGAGTAGAATTTTTTTTTTTTAATTCGTAAATATTATTTAAAACATATATGAACAGTAAATAAGTGTTGCTTTCATATTCATATGTAGAGAAATGACGATATTTTTTCACAGTGCGCACTTAATGTTCATACGTTGGCGTTCCCAAACTTCTCGCTTTATTTCTTTACCATTAGTAGTTAACTACTTCTATTGTTCCATTTATTAACATTAAATAATATTACTTAAAACATACATACAGGTATTCAATTTCTTTAAATTAAGTTCAAAACAGCTACAACCAGGGTCTTATTTCCTTCAGAACCATCGTCACTCACAAAAACAATGCCGTCTTGTCTTCTCATGTGTGTTTTAATATTCTACGTGTTATTAATGAATTGCATTGTTCATTTCAAATATATAAACATTAATTCAATCAAATACATATTCAGTAATAAACAATAATAAATCTTTTGTACATATTCTTAAGATAAATGACTGTTTCCGTGAGTGCGCATGTATACATTAACGTTCCACTATCAGTCTAACTTTTCTTTAATATCAGTGGTTACTTCTACTGTACATTAAATAATATTAATTAAAACATATTTTTTACATTAATTTTACTACAACAACAACCAGGGTCTTATTTTCTTCAGTTTCAGGTGGATAACTGACATTATGGGTGTAAACACTGACAAGAATGCCGTCTCTTATTATTAATGAATTGTATTGTTCATTTCGCATATTCTTAAAAAGATAAATGACGCAGTATCCTTCATGCACGTATATGTTGGCTTCCCCTTTCCATCTTTTTTTTTTCTTTGCCATTAGTGGTTAGCTACTTCTATTGTTCCATTTATTAACATTAAATACCATTACTTAAAACACATATTATTTTTTTTTTACATTAATTTTACTACAGCTACAACCAGGGTCTTATTTTCTTCACTTTCTTGTGTAGAACTATCGTCCCCAACTCCCGGCTGTAAACACAAATGAAAACAGTGGCGTCCCATCTCCTCTTATGTGGCCATATTATAATTCATTTATATTGTATAAGGTGCATTCAGAAACATTATTTAAAGAATATAGTTTGCAATTTTCATTAATTGTATTGTTTTGGGGGGAAAAGAGGGTAAAAAGCCACACAAAAGATATGAAAAGGTCACACTCGGGAATGCATCTCATTATTATTGCTTTATTTGAATGGTAATTAATGATTCGTGATGCGATGATTCATCTTACACTGCAATATTGGAGGACACATTACCGTCGTTATTCGAGGCTTTACTGTACAGAGCAGTATAGTGAATTTTACAGAATAACAATAGTACTTCCCATTCCCTACCAGCCACTGAAATTTGCCTATGACCAATGCACAGTCAACAGTGTCTCCTTTGAGCCCTGCATTGTCCAGTACAATATCCTGTTATCATATACAGTAAACCCCCGCTTTACGCGGTTTCACTTTACGCGTTTCCACGTTTACGCGGTACCCTGCCGAAACCGGAATGCTCACTTTCCGCAGTGTGTGTATCCTTCTACGCGGAGAGCGGCGCGAGCAGGGTGCGCACAAGGTCGCCCAGTCATCAAAACAATACCTAGTTCTTCACCCGCCACCCACCACAGCCGGCCCAAGTCAGTGATAGTGATAATGATAGTAAGGATATGGACTTATATGGACTTTGAGGGGTTTGACAAAGAGGCCCTGCAAGCCTCTGTGGTGGATAGTGATACAATTGATACAAGTGATACAGGTGAGGGCCAATAATCTGCCCTCTGCCTCGGAACCAACCCCCCATCCCCGTGTGCCCAGCCATCTTTTCTACTAATGTAAGTGTTAAAAACCTAATATTATTGATATTTCTCTTAATTATTAATTGTGTGTGCATACCATCATAAAATTAAGAAGTTATTTTTACTACAACGTAGGTATTGTGTCTGAAAAAGTGGAGTTTGGGGGTCGGCCCGGTCTCTATTTCAATTAATCCCATATGTTATGTTGTTCACTTTACGCGTTTCTCACTTTACGCGGGCCGCCGTGGGTTCAATTGACCGCGTAAAGTGAGGGTTCACTGTACTTATGTCTATAAGCTATTTCACCATTACGTGACTAACTGTAACAAGTGTTTCATGGATTGCAAGGTTATGTTCCTGTAACTACTGTACTGTGATATTCCAGGACATATTAACTGCCTTAACAATTAATAATGCTTCAGTCCCAGCCTGGTTTATTTTTTCAGTATATCCATTCTGATCCTTACAAAAGCTTTCATAAAAATAACTGCATCAAGATTTGTAGGAATGAACCCGAGTAATTTAGAAAGATGTCTAATGGCTTCAAACAGACAACGTATTAACAGCCAACATGTGAGAGAAATAAAAGAATGAACACAGGAATTTCGCCTTAACCTTTAAAGGGTAAATATCAGTAAAGCTAAGACGAGATGAATAAAGTTAAAATTTTTCTTACTATATTTCAAAATAATTGATGATATCAAACAATAAAAACAAAGTTTCCCTCAAATAAATTTGTTCATTTAACCCAGTTACTATTACTAAAGATGACAAATCTCACCTCAGTAAATGTTGAAGAAGTAGCTTCAGCGTATCATAATTTTCTTGAGGCAGTTTGTTTACTGCTTTTGTCAATTTGTCTGCTTGTTGGTTCATTTTTCGATATTCTGTTGAGCATGCAAAGGGTTCATTAAAAAAGTCAAGACAGCAAATGACTTGCTGTTACCAAATTCAATATTATTATGTCTAATGAAGTAAACTCCATAGCCAATACAAACATTCCTTAATAACTGAAACTTTATAAAATCACAATATCATCATTTTATGGTAATTTTTGAGGGTTAGTCATGGTTACTTGATGGCAGCTCTCTTGTCAGATTCCTAATTCTAATATTTCTTACAACTTCCCTCCTTGTCATTCTTGGCCTACCACAGCCTCTCTTTTCCCTCTACATCTAGGCTCATGCACCTCTTGGCCCAATTGGTCTCATCTATTCTATCGCAGCTGCCCTCTCAGCTCTGAACAGGGCCTCCACTTCACCATTTCACCATTCTCATGTCAGCACACTCAAGTCTACTTATGTCATCCTCTTTAACTGCCCATGTCTCACTGCCATATAACATCACAATTCTCACACCAGTCACATAAACATTCTTCTTTTCATGTAAAGGGAAGGTACTCTTGCCATCAATAAAGGCAGCAGCTCCCTGAACTTCCTCCAACTACTTCTGACTCTTAGATCTGAGCAGGCTACAGGACCCCCACTGGCACTGATCATGTCACCCAGGTTACAGAACTTATTGACACAGTTCAAAGGCATACCCCAATGCTGAGTTTCTCCAGCTTTGCTGTGGGTACATGATTACCTGCACATACAGAACACTAAAAAATCAGCAACAACCTGCAGTCTACCATCTACTGCACTGCACTTCCTGTGTACCCATCTTCAACACTCATTATTTAGTTGCTGCCAATACCTTTTCGTTAGAGACAGCACATGGCCATTTTCCACTTTCCACCACAGGTCCCTCACCTACACTGCTAATCAATACTTTTGATTTTGCCGTATTCACTTTCAGGCCCTTCACCTCTATTTCATCCTTCCATTTCTTCAATTTCACCACTGCCTCTTCAATACTATCTGTTATCAACACTAAGTCATCAACATGCAACATCTCCCAGGGTACGCCAGTCCTCAAGTCCTGTGATATTGCCTCAAGCACCATGATGAACAGAAGGGGGCTCAAGACAGACCCCTGCTGAACCCTTCTTTCACAATATGTTTACGATATATTAAAAATGATTTTCTGTAACCACTACCTAAAAGTAGTGAGTATAGAGTACAGGTTCTGTACTTCCAAATTTTATTGTTCTTTAATTGTCCAGATCATCCCTAAAGCATTAATTTTAGATACTGCCACAGAAAAGAAAGACATTTTATCGCAAGGTTTGGGTAAACATGAACAATACATACCTTATATTCAAGCTTTGGTAGAAGCATGAAAGAAAACTATCACTCAGTAATATATTTTTAATTAATACTAATAATGTAAGTGAAAATATTGTTTCATGAAAAAGCAAAAGAAACAGTTTTTTAATCCCTATCATCCATTGAAAAGAATTTAATAGAATAACTATTCACTATTAGCCCACGGTGTTCTGCATGAAACATTACATAGTACTAGGCCATTGTAACCTGCTATAGAATATATGTGGATGACTGCAGCCCTTGATCATGAAACTTAATCTGGCTTTTTTTTATAATTTGGTGAACATCTTACAAAAACTGACTTAGTCCAAATATGAAGCAAGTGGTGAAACCTCAAGACAAAGCTAATGATAGGCATTGTGTTCAACAATAAGTCACTAACCAGAGCCAGTGGCTTGAATGAAGTCCTGGTAGTTGTCAAAGGGAATTAAAGGTTCCTTAAGCTCTCGAAAGAACAGCTTCAGGGCCCCAGACAGATTATGGATCTCCTTTTCTCGACTCAATATGGTGTAGTTTCTCTGAGCAACCTGAATATAAAGAACAGAGAGAATTATCATATACAATTATCATAACTAAACACAGGAGTTCCTATGTCTCAAAATAGAAAACACCTGGTCCAAAATTGGTAGCATTCAGGTACAAAGACTAAGCCACTTGAGAAATCACCCATGCTAGTGAAATGATGTGGATGAAAGCATATTTTCAAACCTGTTATTCTCACTTTACAACCTCAGACTTACCTATACAACTCATGCAGTATTATAGTACCAAGTCATGGTGTGAGAGAGCACAGTTAATCCCTTAGATATGGTAAGGACTTCTGACTAATTCAGGAAATACAGTAGTTGCAACTTTCCATCATAACCAATTTAACCGGTTACCCGAGAGGGCTCTCCAGGAACAAGAGTCACCAATTCATGTACTATAAGGCAATGAGCCATGATGTGTGCACTGTGCCTGACAACTGAGGGTTTAGATATGGCTGGCATATCAGGTACAGGTTGTACCTCTCTAGTCCGGCAACCTCGGGACCTGACCGATGCCGGACCATGGAAATTCACCCTTTTCCTAAATAGATAGTGACTTGTGCTTATGCTTGGAAGCACGAGCACCACTTTCTCTGCATCGTGGTCTCTTTGAAGACATATTGAAGGGTTAAATGTCGTATAGTAGCTTCTCAAATTTCGTGAGTTTTTAATTCAACATATTTTATTGGAACACAAAAAAAATTAAATAAAAATTTTGACGGCAGAAACTTGAATTTCGACGGGTTTGAACGGCCCGCCAACATGCAGACGATGTGCATAATCGTGTAAACAGCGTCATTTCTCTTATGTACAAAAGATTCATTATTGTTTATTACTGAATGTCTTTTTTATTGAATTAATGTTTGTGTGTGCAAAATGAGCAATACAATTCATTAATAATACGTAGAATATTAAAACACATGAGGAAATGACACAGCATTGTTTTCGTTGATTACAAAACCAGTGACTGACTGGTTCTACATATAAAACTGAACAAAATAAGACCTTGGTTGTAGCTGTAGTAAAATTAATATGGTTGTTTTAAGTAATGTTATTTAATGTTAATAAATGGAACAATAGAAGTAGCTAACGATAATGGTAAAGAAAAAAGAGAGATCGCGTATGTACTGTAAGTGCGCACACGTGAAAAGATATTGTCATTACTTTACATAAGAATATGAAAGCAACACTTATTTACTGTTCATATATATTTTAATTACTGTAATGTTTCTGAATTTGTTTTTATTGAATTAATGTTTGTGTGTGCAAAATTAACAATACAATTTATTAATAATACGTGGAATATTAAAACACGAGGAGACGAGACGGCTGCCGGCATTGTTTATGTTAAAGCTTACAAAACCAGTGACTGATTGGTTCTACATATAAAACTGAAGAAAATAAGACCCTGATTGTAGCTGTAGTAAAATTAATGTAAAAACATTAATATGGTTGTCTGAAGTACCTGTAATGTTATTTAATGTTAATAAATGGAACAATATAAGTAGCTAACCATTAATGGTAAAAAAAAACAGTGAGACTGCGCGTGTGTAAGTGAGCACATGTGAAAACATATCGTCATTACTTTAAGAATATGAAAGCAACACTTATTTACTGCTCATATATATTGAAGGGTTAAATGTTGTACTCTGTATAGACAAGCAGAGAGAGAGAGAGAGCAGCCGAACTGCCGGATGTAAACAAACCTTAATTTTCCGCGGCTTTGTTGTTTTTTTTAACGGGGATTAGCCCACTCGGGCATACGTCACTGACCCACATTGGGGCCTGAGGGGCAAAAATTTAATACTCCTGTAATAATAATAATGATTCAGATAAGTAAAAAATAAAAATAAAAAATAAAATAAAAAAACTGCCTATCTACCTATTGGACAAACTAAAATCGTTCCGGACCACAGAATGCCGGACTAGAGAGGTACAACCTGTATTAATTTGAGAACAACTGGGTCATGATTTTTAAATCTGAGAGGATCCTAAATTCCTTTAACTTCTGTGTGGGCAGGACATTGTCATATGAAAATGTATATTGATCCTGAGTAGTTTTTGCAAACTACTCTTATACTAAAACCTCTGTACCTGTGTTCTTATTTCTGAAATAATAAAAAAAAAATTATTTATAAGAGCATATTACTGTAATTGTGCTCTCATAAATTAACTTTTATTATTCTGGTATTGTACCAGCACAGAAGTTTAGTGAGTTGCAACCCTATCTTGCCAGCAGGCACTTGGAAGTCTTAAATGTAATGCCCAATTCCCACTTTGTTAAAGTGGTTGGTGACAGGAAGAGCATTAAACCATAAAACTTGCTTCAAATTTTTCTATTTGCGACCAGGCTACCATGCCATCAACTGGTCATGGCTAACCACACAAGCTTGGAAAATGACTATAAAACACTGATGATGATGATGATGATGAACTTACCTCAAATCTAATCTTCTGAATTTGGGCAGCATTGCCGGATATCCGATATAATCCATCGGTACGTAAATTTTCCTGGGTTTTCTCAATATGGTTGATACACTGAAGAACAAATATAGGAATTGCTGTTTTGTCTTGTACACGGAGTTCAGCTAATGTGCTGCCAAACACAGACTCTAGAAAAAAATTAATAAATCTGTAAAATATAAGATATTCCAAGTCAACGTCAGTGGCATAAAACACAATTAGGTCTTGGCCAACATCTGGATTAAGCACATACAGAAAACTAAAAACTATTACCATTCAATTAATTTATTAAACAATTAACTACAGTAAGTCGTCGCTTAACGTCGTGGTTCCGTTACTGAAAACCGCAACATTAATGGAAACGACGTTAACGGAATCAAGTTTCCCCATAAAAAATAGATAAAATACAGGAGTTACGTTCACCAGCCTCCCTTTGCCCCATTAAATACATTACATATACAGAAATTCAATGGCATTTCTATAGAAAATAGAATATATATATAAATAAACTAAATCATTTTGTATTGTACTCACTGATGGGCGGAGGTGGTGGAGCGAGTGTGTGTGCTGGTCTGGATAGTACACACAGTTGTGGAGGTTAGACCTAGCGCAGCAGCAATGTTCACCTCACGTTCACCTTTCTCAAAACGGTTTAAAACCTCCATTCTCATAGCAAGGCTAATGGTCTTATGTTGCTTCATCACAACACTAGCATCAGTAGCACTTGATGGGTGCTTGAAAGCCATTTTGAATGGTTAGAGTACAGTATTAAGAGCAAAAACACTTAAACATGCACGAACGCTGTGGAAGCCTAACAAAGACAGGCAACGCTTGGGGACACTGTGATGCTCCGCGAGTGAGAGCGAAGTGTGCCAAGATGAGAGAGGGTGATGCGCCGTACAAAGTAGTCCGTGACGACGTTATACTGAATCAGCAGGACGTTATCCGAATCATGGGTATCTAAAGCATAGCGACGTTATAATGAAACAATGTTATCGGGGGCAACGTTAAACGAGGACTTACTGTATAAACAAATTACTGTTACAATCAAAGCATAGTTTTTTTTTTTACGGGGATTAGCCCACCCAGGCACAGGTCACTGACCCACATCAGGGCCCGGGGGGCGAAAATTTAATAATAATAATAATTCAAAGTAAATAAAATTTATAATAAAAAGTAAAATAAAATATTAATGGTAATAATAATAATAACAACACTGTGATAATAATAAATACAAAGAAATGCAAGAATGAAAAAAAAATCAAATACAGTACAGGGGGTTTAGGTTCTCAAAATGGCCACGAATCACCATATCCCGAATAACATTTGAAGACCGGGGGAGGGGGGCATTTTTACTTGTGTACAAAGAAATGTATATTCCCTTTATGTGTTTGCCCTTAGGACAATTATTTCTTTTACTTGTATTGTGTGTGTATATATATATATATATATATGTATGTGTGTGTGTGTGGACACAAAAAACAAAATACATACAAATAAATAATAATGGGAAAATACTCAGGAAATGCCAAGATATGTCAAATTATCTGGAAAAATCTCGGCATATCTGACCACCTACCATGCCTCTGTCTCACCTACCATGCTTCTGTGTCACCTACCATGCCTCTGTGTCACCTACCATGCCTTTGTGTCACCTACCATGCCTCTCTCACCTACCATGCCTCTGTGTCACCTACCATGCCTCTGTCTCACCTACCATGCGTCTGTCTCACCTACCATGCGTCTGTCTCACCTACCATGCCTCTGTCTCACCTACCATGCGTCTGTCTCACCTACCATGCCTCTGTGTCACCTACCATGCCTTTGTGTCACCTACCATGCCTCTGTCTCACCTACCATGCCTCTGTCTCACCTACCATGCCTCTGTCTCACCTACCATGCATCTGTGTCACCTACTATGATGCTTTATTCTTTGCCTGATAAGTATTACTTTTTTACATTTAGTAATTACATGTACACATATATAGGTTGATAATTTTTATTGTTGTATTTTTATAGGAGGGGTGGGGGCAAGTGCCTCAATAAGTCGGAATTTGGTATCTCTCGGCAAGGCCAGAGCCCCATATGTGCTGAATTATCGAGAGTTTACTATATTTAAAATGGCACATTGATATAAATTCCTACATTCAATGGTAATATCTTTCATATTTGATTTGGTTAAACTGGTGATTAGGCAATTAAGTAATTTATTCACTTTACCATTTTTAAGTGCAACTCTCCATACATTTCACCATTCAATGTGGCCCACTTACATTCAAAGGTTGGGGACCAATGCTTGAGTGTATACCAAATTAAATTAACAAATACAATTTTCCAAGTACCTGCACACTATTTAGATTTTTTCCAGTTATACGTAAAAGAACTGTAAAGTTTAGTTATCAAGCCTAATATTCATAAGGTAATGTTATTCACTGATGAAATATTCTGGTTTTTCAATCAGGTGCAAGATATTAATAGAATTGCATTACACACATAGCACCAAGTCCAATTTTAACTAAAAGACAATGGGCAAAATCATGCAGTTCAAAGCAGTGTGGTTAAGAAAAACCTGGTTGAATTTGCCTTGCATGTGGATTCTCAAAGATTCATGCCAATAATTCTTCACTTAATGGAAATGAGAAAAAGAAAAACTCATAACCATACTTAAACCAAAGTGCAATTTAAACACTTTTGTAGGAGCAAATTGCGCATCCAAGTCCAAAAATGACCATGTGAATTTTTTGAGAATCCAGACTGTGTTCTACTATGAACAGTCTAACACTCTTATCAGCCAAGGGTTAGTAGAGTGGGGCATCTGAATTACAAGTTAAAACTTACCTTTGTATATACCCTTCTTCTCCAAGGTTTCTTTTAATGGCCTTCGCTTTATAAAATTGCGAAGTTTATCAGTGATGCCTTTACTGTCAGGGCTAAGGTGCTCAACACTTGCTTCACGCTTAACTGGAAAAGAGCAAAGCTTAATATCAGTTTATACACAATCAATATCTTATTTTCATAACAGGATACCCATATATCTCACAATATGAGGAGCAATCTGTTAAAAATCTTGTGACAACTTTTGATTATACAGGTATATTAATATTATTATTGACGGACCTTTTAGGCAATTGACAAAAAAGAGTTTTGTTCAACTTCCAAATCTCTCACAATTATCTGAAAATATATTAATTATCTGTAAACCCATCTTTCAAAATAACCAATAAAGTGAACTAGTGCAGCTTTACTATAGAAACTATTGTATCAAGTTCAATGATGCACAGTAACAAGAGACATCTCTTGCTGGAGTGTTGAGGTGGTATGGATGTTTGGATGGACTGGCTATTGTAAGAAAGACAAAAAATAGTAACCTGTAAAGTGGCAGGATAAACTCCTCTGTTTTTGCAATACTGTACTGTACTTATCTTAATATTTCCTCTATAATGTTTTCCATTATTCAAATGTCCTTTTCCTTTATACAGGGTGATGTACAGTACTGTAGTCTTTGTTAGCCAGTTTTTTAACTTTTCCTTCTAGCTACCTTCCTTATAATATCCACAATGATTCCATTCATTCTGATCACCTTACTTACAATCTATTTCACCTTCCCCCTCACTTGATTGTTTTCCTCTCTCACTTTAACGTTTTTTTTTCATCCCTCCACACCAAATAAAAGTGTGGGAATCATTGTACAGTATTACAGTTGTATTTGAGAACCATGGCAAACTGTTCTTATTTAGTTATTATTCTTCTTAATTTTTAACACCAATTTATGCAGTTTTAATTACCGTATATAACCAACAGTTAACCCCTGGGCTTCGGACTATGGTCGGCATCCACCCCTACGCGGGTATACAGTATTCAAGAACATTTAAAAAACAAATATAAAGTAATTCAAGCCTTACAAACATGCCATGCATGATATAAACAGGAAATAAATACATGTCCTTACCACAGGTTGGCAACACCGGGGCTAGAAAGAGTCAAGAATGTTCATGAAGTGGCTTGCATGTGACGCAATAGTACAAGGTAGACAACACAAATTTGTAGGCAGTATGAAGTACAGGACACTTGTTTTACTATGTTATCACTATTTACACTATTAACAATAATTATTACTGTTCCAGTAATTGATCGCGATGATAGACTTGTGCATGGGGTATAAACACACGGTGAAGTCAGTCAAGTCCAAGGGTAAGATTTCAACAACACAAAACCTGAGAAGCTACTGAGAAGAGACTGAAAGGCTTTCATGTGTGAGTGAGTGCAAGATAAATACCTACATGGCAACATAACCTAGCCAGGCCTGCCCTTTTTATTCAAATAGGCCAGCGAAAGATCAAAACGTCATATGAAGCGACCCGAAGCCCTGCAGATGCATGTCATGTGATGTGATCCGAAGCCTAGGGGTTAGGAAACCACTGCACAAAGGGGCTCTTATGCTTGGGACTCAAGCTATCACTTTGGGTATGGATCTATAATACTGGACACCTGATAAAAGAACACAAACAAAGATACTCACTCTTCTCAGATCCACGTTTCCCCTTCTTCTCCTCCTTCTCAGTCGTGGGAGCAGTATACTGCATTCCATCCTGAGATCAAGACCATAATCCTCAATAAATTGAATCAAACACTTCTGTGTATTACCTTCAAATACTTTTCATTGTAAATCATAATGGAACATAATGTAGTTAACAGTGAAAGTTGTTGTTTTAGTGTAGATTGAATATTAAATCAATCTAAAACATACCAACAATATCAATTCTTTACACTTTGTAATGCTGAAGTTCAGCCAAGGTTATGGATGGCTTTTGTTTAATTACAGCTTACTTTTATTTAACATTTCAACTATTGCCATCTTTGGACTCATTTTTCTTATTCCTATTTAACAATTGGACTTAAAGTACAGTACAGCAGTACAGTACTTACTTTCATATTTCATTTTATTGCTCAGAGTTTCCTGAGTGAAAATGCAAAAATATTTTTGCAAACATACAAAATGTAGTGGTACCTAACTGTATATTCAAACTCAGTACCTGTTTCATCCCACATTTATCTCTACACCACTATTGCTGTTGTTCATAATACATAATAAACGGTAATAGAGTACAGTACTTTTATTAAATGGTTGTTGTTAGTGGCCAATGTTGGAACTTGTATCTTACAACTGGCTGGCAAAATCTCAAGACCCACAATAAGGTTCCTCAAGAGTGTATGCCCTGGGAACTGACAGGGTGATGAACCTGATAACTCTAAGGATCACGAGCCAAAAATACCAGCAATATACTCTAGTAAACTTGATATACACAGACCTTTGTAACACTGATCAAACTTTCACAGTCCAAAAAGTGTAGCTCCTTTCAATACTCACCTTTAATGCTTCAGTATTGTGCAAATTTTTACCAGATTCTGGTTGTACTGTAAACACCTCTGCCTACATTCTTCACATATTGGATTCCAATTGGCATGGCTACACAGGTATACTGTATGTATAATTAACAGTGGTGAAAAGTTATATTGTTGTTCTCCATGTCTAACAACTTCCTCATTGTGTGTGCTTATGCACATGTTTGTGTGTGTGTGTGCGTGTGTGTGAAAAACGATGCACTTGATATATTGAGTACTGTACTTACATGTGCTAAAAGAACCTTAAACCATTCATCAGTAATAGATTTATCATCAAACTGGAGAAGCACCTCTGTCTCAAGCCCATTCCGTAACCCCAGTACTTGTTGTCTGCTGGTCTTCTTGTCTGTAGTGTGTTCCAAGTGACAAGTTGGGTAAAACTCAAATTCCTCGGCTTTCTGCAACACACAAAGAATATATTGTACAAGTACTGTATTGATTAAAGAAATGTCTAACACATTCACTATTACAAGTACAGTATATCATTACTGTATGCATACCTGTATTTACCTTCCTTTAAATACACAAATGACAAAATAAATATATACATGTGTGTGTATGTGTGTTTTAGTATCTGCATGCATTAGATTTGATGGGTAACTGTCCAGAAATTAGAGACATACAAATCAAGGAAGAGTAAGGAAAAGAATAAACAAAGATACCTGTACAGTAATACCCCAGTCATCCACAAGCCTGTGACTTGTGATAACAAACAGCATGCCCTTCAAATTTGCGGATTTTTAATTCTTGGACCTCGATTATTCGCGGATGACACCCTGGATGTACAGTCACCCACAAAATTCCTGTTTCCTCTCCTGCTGTTCACGAACCCCGAGATTCAGACTCGTGAACCCGAAGCAGTAGACATTGATACATTATTCTGTCCATAAATGCTTCATCTTCATGAGTCTGAATCTCGGGGTTCGTAGTTCAGGAGGAGAAGCGACAGGACTTTTGTGGGTGACTGTACCCAAGAATATCTAAGGGTAGTTTTAAAGTTGCTGGGATTTTCGAGGCCGGGACAGGGAGCCATTCATTCTAGAGACAGTAATTTCCTTTACCTGATTTGTATATATGTGTGTGTTTGTGTCTACACACAAACACACATATACAATACAGGTAAAAGAAACAATTGTCATAAGGACAAACACATAAAGGGAATACTGTATACATTTCTTTGCACACGAATACAAATGTTCCCCCCCCCCACCCCTCCCCCAGTCAGGAAATGTTATTTGTGGATTTGGCTATTCACAGCCATTTTGAGAATTTAACCCCAGAGAATTTGAAAGGCATGCTCTATAATGTACCTGTATATCCAGTAAATATTTTAATTTCATTACTTTTCCTTTACTCTAGTTTGAAAAAAATAAATAAAAAATCAATTAGTGCAGTTTTCAATAATCTTCAGCTTTAATATCAATAAATAAGACTCAAAGTAGTATTAAAACAGCACTGTATGCTACTCTTTACTTAAAGCATGAATAGCGCTACAATACAGAGCAAATGATTCCCAATAAAAAAATTGACTGTACTGTATTGTAGTTCTATACACACAACGGTGCTTCCTTAAACATATGTTTTCATGTAATTTCCTTCCTTGAAGCTTCATCACCTCTGACCAGCTGATTAAAATCACACACTCCATACATTTTATAACTTCTGTAATAAATGTGTTGAACAAAAATGTTCCCTTACTAAGACCTACAATATTCATCTGATACAGTATTCCCTAGTGCTTCACACACCTTAGCATCCTCCTTCAACAGCATAACTATTCTTAAAACAACTCAACATGATGGTTTTTGGTTATTTACACAAATAGTTTATTCCTAGATATTCAATAACTTTTCTCCACATCTTTCATCTTCTCTTTTGAATTCTTTCACCATGTTCTTTACTTTTCTTCTTGTCAATACAACTGGAGTTAATATACAATATTTATTTTATTTTATTACTACTGCCATCCTCTCATTCTAAAAAAACTTCATATCACTGACCTTATCTTCATCCTTTGTCTTGGAGAAATATAATAATCCGTTGTAACCTTTATCAAAATTTGCCATAAGGTAGCGGGCATAAGATTGTGTCCAGTTCTTCCGTACCTTCTTACCCTCTCGTAAGAGAAAAGTGCGATACAGGAATCCTTCCTTCACTGTATACTCTTGCTGTAAAAAAAAAATTATACTCATCCACTCGCAGTATAAGCACTGGGTAAAATACTCCCATTATATAAAACGCTTCAATTATGCTATGTCAATGTTTTCCAAATGATTGAGACAATGCAGCCTCTTGGTCAGAGCCCAAATATACCGGATGTTAATGGCCAAGTCTGCTAATTATACAAGACAAAAAGACATCCAATATTAGGAATACCAGGTATTGAGAAGGGTTATGGAACTACCAGCCAAAGTCTATAGAATGAAACCAAGGCCCTTACACCATGGCTATTGGCTCTAACAGAATACGTTGTTAGTTCAAAACTTTTCCATCAAAACCATAGCCCTTAAAAATAGGGTATTAGAAGCATCATCTGTTACTGAAAGTTGAAGGATGAAAAATCTTGCCATATTACTATGTCTTGCAACCATCAGTTACAGGCACAACACACCTTGGCATTATTCACAGGGAGGAAGGTCAAGAGGTGAGTAACTTCATCCAACCTCATTATAAAATGGAATTTCAGGATTACTTTATCATTTACAACTTAATGCCAGGATTGGTCAACTTATCTTGATGCCAGATCGATACATAACTGTATGTATAGAGAAAGAAGACGGGAAAATAAGCTCCATAAGTAGTACGTAAAACTCTGTCCCACACAGTGAGTATATCTCCTAAAGCACTAATAGAAGGCACTAACACAGGACTGGGACCCCTCAAAGTAAAGGACCAATGAAGATATGTTGTCCCTGAGGACAGGCAACAAAGGAAAACAGACCACCTGAGTGAAAAGAATGCCTCTGCCAAAACACAATAGAGACATAAGCTCTTTAAAATGCTCTATATTATAAACCAATGGTTCAAATGATGTTAGGTGCAGCAGATTTGTAACCCTAACCCAGAGTAAACTGCAATCAATAAAAAATATATAAAATAAATAAATAAAATAAAAATAAAAAAGTCCCCATTTTTCACTTAGCCAATAAATGGCTTATCAAATGAAGACACAAGAATTTGTCTTCAACTCAAATTAGCCCTCAGGGGAAGTCAAAAAATACAAACTACCATCCCTTTCCAGAACAAGAAGCTATGAATCCGTTACAATGATCATTTATAAGATCTTGAAATTAAATTAAGTCAACAAAGTTAAGATAAACTTGGAAATACAGTTCCCATCAGTGGAAACTTAATGAGGTTGCACTATGAAACAAGACAGGAGTCCAGTTTCCCAGAATAGATGACAAGTCAAAAAGGTAAAATCTCATTCCATTAATCAAATTCTATCTCAGCAAATTTGATAAGCATTATCCTCTATATGTTCACAAGAACTCAAAAAAATATAATTATGTAACTCACTTAAGCAAGGTCATATTACAAGAGACAAAAAGCAACTAAATAACATCCAACAAGTGCATTTATGGAAAAATCAGGGAATGTACCCCTATTGATCTCCTCAGGTGGAATCTCCTGGGCCAGCAGGCCTTGAAGCAACCCCACAGTGTATGAAGATGACACTATTAGTAAAGTTGTGTAGTTCATCGTTACCAGGTAAAGGACCTATGAGCCCAATTGCTTTTCATAAATTACACAGCCCAACAACAGCCAATTATCAGACCCTCTGCTAGGTTCCTATATGTTTTAACACAAAACACAGAAGTGCACACAATAATCTCTCTAAAATGAGTACAGTATTATGTGCAGGTTCGACTTTCCCCAAGGTAGGATACCCAGTGAATCACCAAACCAAGATCCCAAATGAATATTCCCTGAAATTCAACTCTGGACCACACAAGACCCTAGATTATACACCTACATCTATTAATGAATGGGCTATAGTATAAGCTGAGGTATGAGCCATGATATCAACGTTGTCCCTTGATATGTTTTTGGATTATGTGGTCCCACATGCCAACACACTGGTTAACCTTAAACTGGGCCATTAGGCAACTGTATACACCCTTGAAACAGATTAAAAGTATATTTAGCACTTAAGATGGTAGTTATAATCTAAATCTGTAAAGTGCACAAGCACTTAGCTCTCAACAAGAGGTGGAAATAAGTATGGGGCAACCACTTGCATCACCCATATGGTTGGTACTGAGGGAATTCACCCAATGACAATAGTTTGTAACCAAGCTAAAGGAGGGTCACACAATGCAATCAGAGTGACGGCAAGACTTCACTCTTCAGCCTTAAGTGGCAGCCTTTACCATTTTAACACCCATTTTTTAAAGGCTTTGAACTGCTTTTGGGGGGGTTTTCTATCTGCCAAGGTCACGAGACATAAGTTTCAACCTGTTGACTTTGGCAGGTAATTTGGAAGTTGCCCAAGTCAGGCATTTGGTTATATGATAAAAAATATAGTATTTCATAACACCCTAATATTATCAAGCAGATAGTTGTAACAACTATTCTTATTGTGCAACTCTACTATAGCGAGTTTTTCCCCAGCTGAGAAAAGATGCCTCCTCCTCAAAATTTACAACTGATTGGCTGTTGCAAACCTGTCCGATTTTGTCCTGAAGTATTGATGTATTTCTAAATGAGTTTATTCATAATTGTTGGGATGACCATTTCTGACGAGAAAGATATTTAGCTAAATTATATAAAGATAGATACATACATTCATTATTTCAAACATAAGCAAGTAGGAAGTTTATCAGATGTATTATACATGAATTAACTGTCCAACTCTGGTAGCAAATTCACGCTTTCGGAAGATGCATTTGATATATACTGTACTTATCTTTACCCACAATAAGGCATACTAAGACAAATTATGTATCAGTAAAACTACATTATGCAAAACAACATTTTAAAAGATCAGAATCACATAGAAATATTACACGACCGTCAGCAGAGGCGGGAAATATGACTGCGAACAACTTCATATTTTTCCCACCTCTGCTAACGGTCATGTAATATTTCAATGTAATTCTGATCTTTTAAAATGTTGTTTTTGCATAATGTAGTTTTACTGATACGTAATTTGTCTTAGTACGACTTATTGTGGGTAAAAATATGTATACTGTATAATAAATGCATCTTCCGAAAGCGTGAATTTGTTACCAGAGTTTAACAGTTAATTCATGTACAAGATTTTTTATAAACTTCCTACGTGCTCCTGTTTGAAATAATGAATGTAAGTACCGTATATGTCAGCGTACAAGGCCACGGGGTGTATAAGACGATCCCCCAAATTTCTATTTAAAACGTAGGTTTTGAGCTATACGCGCTGTATAAAACTACCACAAATCTGACACTTACCACTGGGAGCTTACTGCCCCAGTAGTTCTTTACCAACCATCCCACTGACCAGTGGAGTGATGCTGTTAAACACACTGCTAAGCAACACATCCTTGGTTATTTAAAATAAGGCCAATTAACTTCAAGTAATGGCATCAAACGTTACCAGCTGGTGTATTGTACAAGTAAACACTAGTGACGTCACTTAGACGTCGTCTGGAACTAATGTCGGTGTCGAGTAAAATTTTACCATTTACCTGAAATGGATTTACTGATTTATTTATTTATTTATTTATTAATTTATTTATTTATTTATTTATTTATTTATTCATAATATACTGTAATATACAGTCAACCCTCACTTTACGCGGTCCCACATTCCGCGTTTCCACGTTTACGCTGCCGCCCCCGGGATGCTCACATTCCGCGGTGCGTGTACCCCTTTACGCGGGTGAAGTATAATTTTTTTATTTAGCTCATAAAATTCATACAAATTATCCGGCCAGAATATAATTTACATTGCTGGAATTCTTACAATTTGATGATCATTTTGAATATAAGCATCATAGATTTTGCATTAGACATACAAATTTTAGATCTAATGCAAGTATTTTGTTTACTCAGAGCAAATATGTTATCTTTTGTGCAAAATATATGAAGTGTATATTGAAAATATTCCTGGTCTTGCAATGAATCCAGCAATGTCAATTATATTATCCTAACTTTAGTCTGAGGTATTATTTATTACTAAAAAGGTAAATATTCTGGTTTCTTCCAAACATTTATCTGGTAGGGAGCATTGGTGGGGGTTGGGGGGAGGGAGGGACCGACCGACCATCTGGCGCGGTTGGAAGAGGGGGGGAGTCAAGGTGGGGTACTTTGATTGACAGATAGTGTCGTGAAGAATATTTTTTTTTTTTTTTATTAACTGAAGATATTTGTTTTAGCTCATAAAATTCATACAAATTACCCGGCCAGAATATAATTTACATTGCTGGAATTCTTAAAATTTGATGATCATTTTGAATATAAACATCATAGATTTGCATTAGACATACAAATTTTAGATCTAATGTAAGTATTTTGTTTACTCTGAGTAAATAAGTTATCTTTTGTGCAAAATATATGACATTTATATTCAAAATATTCCTGGTCTTACAAGGAATCCACCAATGTCAATCATATTATCCTAACTTTAGTTTGAGGTATTATTTATTACTATACCTTAAAATCTAGTGGTTTTCCCCAAAAAATTTCTCAGAGAGGGAAGAGCCAGCGAGTGTAGTGTGAGAAGAGGGGGATGGAGTCGAGTCCATTATTTGAATGGACATTAACTTGGCAACTGTATTTCTCTATTTCTCTTAAGTATCAATTGTGTGCATGTAACATCATAAAATTAAGATTTTATTTTTACTAGAATATAGGTATTGTGTCGGAAAAAGTGGAGTTTGGGGGTCAGCCGGTCTCTATTTCATTTAATCCCATATGTTATGTTGTTCACTTTACGCAGGCCTACGTGGGTTCAATTGACTGCATAAAGTGAGGGTTCACTGTCTTAGAAATGTAGGCATAAAATACACTGCAGGTATTTTCTTTAATTTATAAACTTGCTTCGCAAGACGATCGGTAGGACTGGCTGTTTGTTTACTTCGGCGGCAGTTGCAAATGGCGAGCGGTGCGTGATGATACCTGCATTTATTATGTTGTACTTGTTATTTTACGGTATTTATGGTATGTTAGACAGGTTTATAATACATTTTTATTATTTTAATATACCTGTAATCTTATTTTTAATCCAGCTTCCCAAATGTAAGTTTCAGTAGAAAATAATTAGTGGTAGGACCGTGGGATTAAGGTGAGTATTTTACGATGTTCTCCATCACCACTGGTGACACACTAAACCACAGGATGTAGAAGTTCGGATTTTATTCCCGATGTTTAAAAAGACCCCTAACTTTGGGTTGATTTTTTTAAGGTTCAAATTCCGTCTTATACGCCGACATATTCAGTATCTTTATATAATTTAGCTAAATATCTTTCTTGCCAGAAACGGTCATCCTAACAATTATGAATAGACTCATTTAGAAATACATCATTACTTCAGGACAAAATCGAACAGATTTGCAACAGCCAATCAGCTGTAACTCTTGAGGAGGGGGCGGGGCATCTTTTTCTAAGCTGAGAAAACACACACTATAGCATTACACAGTACAAATGAAACTCACCAGATTCTCTACAATTCTGGAAATTCTAAGGTTCTCAGGAGGTGATGTTGTCCCTTTGCCATCCACTGAGGCATCATCATAATCGTCAATCTGGAAGAATATTTGAGAGTACAATTATAGTTTCATACCATCTGTCTCTGTCACAGTAAACCCAGCATTTTAGACAATTAAGAATCCCATCATTCTAAAGCAGCAAATAAAATCAGTAAATTCATTCCAAACCTTCCCCATGAATAGGATTTTTATATTTCTTGTCCAAAATTCTTGACTGGTAAAGATGCAGTGTAAGTGCAACAAAAATAATAAGTGCAGTAAAGCTAGAAGTATGGCAAAATACTACTACAGTATAGGCTATAGCTAGGTTCAATATGGGATTACTGACTAAATTCAGAAATATACAGTGGTCCCTCAGTTAACGAACAGTTCAATTAACGAAATTTCGGTTCACGAATTACCTCCCATAAGGATCTTCAATTCGGTTAACGAACAAAACTTCGATTAACAAAATCCTTACGACCATCACGTTTTGTTGTGAGCATCAGCTGATGAGCTAGTCTGCCAATTCAGTAATCTGTTCTATGTTTACATTTGTTTCCAGTGGAGTAAATATCAAGAAAGTTGTGCTCTTTAATATTTTTGCATTTTTTTTATTAAAATTATTAGTAATTTTAACATTTATTTAACATATTGATAATATATGCAGTATAGGGAATTAGTTTTTTGTGTGCCCATCAGCCGCTTGACTCAGCCACCAGGCGTCAGTCTGGCTTTGTTGACAGTGGAGTGAACAACTATTTTGTTGATGTCTTGAATATTTTTGCATTTTTACATTGAAATTATTAGTCATTCTGAAATTTAGTTAACACATTGATAATATATAGTGCAGTGCAGTGTTGATTTAAATAAAATTATTTTGAATTACACCTAGTGAACTTAAAATTTTATTGGTGAAATAACGGCATCAAGCATGGGTCCCCTGAAAGGTGATTTCTCCTCCATCCCCACTTCCTTCTCTTCTCCCTTCTCCTCCACCCCCACTTCTAATTCCCATCATCATCATCAACCAGGAACCTTCTACATACACACCTCAAAGTAAGTGTACTTTACTGCATTTTTTTTTTTTACTTCGTATGTACATTTTGGTGAGCTGGAACCAATTACCCAATATCCCATTGAAACAATGGATTCGGTTAACGAAATTTTCGGTTAACGAACGACCCTCTGGAACGAGTTGTGTTCGTTAACCGAGGGACCACTGTATACCACAATATGAAATGCAGACCAATAGATAAGGCTGTCAATATATAAAACAATCAACCTTTTCACCAACTGATATAACAGATATACATCAACAAACAATGTATCAACTTAACCAGAACCAAAGTTACTTGCATATCACTGAAAAAACTGCACATTCATTCAAGCTGAAGTTATTACAAAAGACACCGTTATGTTCGACATAATGTAACTTTAAAAATGAGTTCCAGTCTGATACCAAAGTGTAATTACATTCAAAATGCTTTAAAACAAAAGTTAACTCTGTTTTCAATATTTGCAGAGAGATTATCAAATGATCAATGTCTCTATTTGCTTCTATAACAAACTAAATCTCAATGAATTACAATAGTAAAACAATATTTTAGTTACTTCAACTACAATTGCTGAGAAACACCTTACTGTATAGATATAGTATTGAAGAAACTTGGCATAGCTGAGAATTAATGTAAGAAAAATAATTCAAGATACATTAATGATTTTGTGGGTAAAGAGTTTCATTTAATGACAAAATTCCTGAATTTAGAAGAATAGTTGTTTTGTAAGATACCATATTCATATATAAGCCTGACCCTAACTTTTGAAAAATGCTAGGTATAACCCCAGACATATTTTATAGCAAAACACAAGATTTTCACCAACATATCTAGACCTTGATCACCACCACAAAAACCTTAACTGAATTCCCACCAGTTACCAATTCCTATTTATAAGTTTTGCTAGTTTCACCCCTAAAAAGTAGCTTGAACTGTATAAAACTTTAATTGTAAGCACATAATCAGCAAAACAAAAGCGTATAGTACAGTAAATAGCAATAATGAAAGCATAAAAAATGCAAAAAAAATATCCAAGTTAATGGACATACTGTACTGAATCGCAGTCTCATGAATGCTGGCTGCCTGGCCTCGACGCTCACTTTATCAACACAGCAAAAATGCCTTTGCCTACCCCTAGCAACAGTGCTCCCACACTCCCTTCCCCCGTTCAACGTGCTTACTCTAGCACTTGAAGAAATGTTTATTCCCTTTATGTTTTTGATTACAATAATTTTTTTTACATTCTGTATGTAGGATTGTGTGTACTGTACATGTAACTAAGTACTATACAGGTATCCCTCACTATATGAATGGTTAGGTTCCTTGAAAGTCATTTGTTAAGTGAATACAGGTATTCGTGCAGTATATTGAATACCCTGTAACTTTAAGTGGGAAAATTGGGTTTGGTTCCCAATGACAAGAAAATCCCAATATGTATCATACCTAAAAAAAAATTTAATAGGTTCACAAACAGTACTCTACAGTACCATAAATAGTACCTAGCTATTGTAGTTTAGTACAGTACCTAACACAAAAAATCTATAAGATATAAATTTGGCACATTACCTTAAGGGGCCATATCTGTACAAGCGAGAATAACTTTTGTATAGTGAGAGAAATGTGTAACAAATGTGTAACAATAGAATATTTGTAAACATTCGTATAGCGAGGTATACTGTACCTCTAACCAAAACTAGGAGTTGCAAAATAACCATGACATAGCATATAGCTCACAGGTGGGGAATGGTTGAAAACCCCTCAGCAATGTAAACAGATGCAAACAAAAAGAAAATTCTCTGTAAATCTTCATGTTTCAACTATTTGTGTATTTAAAGTGGCATATACTACAGTGAATGAGGCTCTGCTCTTTTGTAGCAACATAATAAAAGAAACTAGGGGTATGGTAGACAAGACCAGGATAAAGGACCATAATTCTGTAGTGGTATCAGCTATAACGCCACTACCAGCATATAAACTTTACAATTAACAGTGTGGTGGGGTAAAAGAAACAATACTGTACTGTGTGTCAGAAATGCCAAGTTCACTTCCAGAAAATTAGGTAAGAGGCATAACTCTCTCCATCTACATACCTGCGGCAGTCTCCACAGACTTTTAGAACCAGACTCTTCATAGTAGTAGATCTTCCCTTCATCATTATTCGTAGCCAACCACTATTGATACACACAAGGTAAGTATCAGCTCCCCAATAATGGCAGTTATTTAAGGTGAAATATATTAAGCAGCAATCCTTTGATAAAGCAAACCTATCCGTTTTGTATGGTAATGTAAGAAAAATTGTAGCATTTGAATCAGGTTTTAGAATTTGTTAAGAGAAGAAGATGAAATATGCAAAATAGGAAGAAATATGCAGAACATTGAATTGAAATATGTGAGCAGTTAAATATCTGAAAATTTAAGAAAAGCTAGCAGGCTACTAACTTGTACAGTACATGAAGTACAGTATTTAACGACAGCATTATTTCCAAATCCCTCGCTCTTGTGATCAAAAGTGACTAACCTCTACCTTCTAAACAGAGAATTACAGTAGCACAATTCAAGACCTACAGTCTCCCTGCCTGAACAAGAGGAACACATCTATACATAAGTGGACTGCAAGGTATGCCGAGTAGATTTTGCCTAAGATAACAGAGATGGTTAGAATCTTGTCCAAAGGCATTGGATCTACGGTGAGTTCTCTGACCACTGAGCCACAACAATCACGGAAAAGAGCAATGGGTCAAGTGTGAGAATTATGCTGATTTAAGAAAATAGTAAACAGTGGTAGTTATCGTTGAGACAATTATAAATGTAAGATTTTACGAGTTCCCGTAGATGGTATCAGAGAGAGGAAATGGTGAGCTATGACTTGTAGGTTTTATATATAATCACTTAAAGAATGGGGTGTAGTGGCCAAGTGGATACAGCATTCACCTCCCGTTATGTGGGTTGCCGGTTTACACCCTGTAAAAGGGTATCTAGCTTTACATTTGGAAGTGAAGGCAATCAAGTACAGAGCCAGTCACCCAGCCTCCTTGTATACTGAAGGCTTAAAATTCACTGTGTGCTATCTGCACTGCCCTTAATGAAACCCACTTCCACTTAAAGAACACACTTGACAAGTCTTATGATGCAGATGGTGTGCTCTGAGGTGTGATGCTTACCTACTATACATGGTACCTAAATAAGACAGTTAAAAATAAATGTGATATTATATGTAGTGAAATTTGAGGCATAAAATATAATTAATATTTGTGAAGGTAAAACAAACTGATACAAGGAAAATACTTTTATAGTATGAGGGAAAAAAATACTGTTGACAGGTTGACCTATCACCATGAGAAAATGCAAAAGTGACAGAATTTGGTATTAGCTGTATTTCAGTTTCATACAACCATGAAATCCAGGATTTTTAACACATGTAATAGATATATCTCATCATTCTGAGTAACTTTCATTCTCTACACTTCTGTTACAAATGAATAATACAGTATTGTTATTATTTATTTTGCTAAATCGTAGACAATATCTATCACAAAACTTCCAGAAAATTTACCAGGCTTTAAATACTGTAGAGGGAAAATGTGGGATAAAAAAAAAAAATTTAAATAAACAAATTAATTAACCACTCCTAACTTCCAAAAGGGTTAAGACTCGCTTTCAAGTTTGTGTCCCTCCTTATCTGAACACAGAAAACAACTCATCACATACTAAATACCGAAAACACAAATCAGGTGTGATGAGACTTCATTTATTTCTGCAATTTTGTTAAAGTCATAGACACAGATATTGTACTGTACCTAGTTATGACCTTTCAATATCTGGTCTCAGGCCAGCTAATGATTACAGTATCCTGCATCCTGGTTAACCATGGATACATCCTGTATTCACAGATGAGATATCTACAAGTACTAACAGCTAAAATACTAAAAATTTGGAAAGGTGGCAAAGTTGGCCTTACTGGCCTATAATAGACAACAGTAATTCGAGCATTCCACCATAATATATAAATAATTTCTTTAATTAGTTTGTCACAACGCAGGAAATTTTAATTACTCATAGTTGCAAAATGGTGGAGGTTTAGTTTATACAGTGTAATGAGAAAACAAAAATGTGCGTCTTACTCATAACTACAAATGCCACAGGAAAGTATAGACCTGAAAATGAAACATGATACTGGTAATAATTCTTGTTCAATAAAGATCCACACTTGTACAATACCAGATGCCATCACTTGGTTGCTATTTTATAAAATATTATACGTAGTCACAAAAAATAAGAAAATATATCAGAGGTTATTTGAAAATGTTAATGGACACCAGAAATCTAATGGACAGACAGAGGACTGGTTGGATGAAACCACCTCACAAAATGCCTTTCACTATGTCGGGGTATCAAAAATTAGTTCTCCATCCCCACCATCATATAGATATGCTCAGCTGTATTAGTCATCTCTAAGAATAACATTCCTGACTAACTACAAGATTTTTCTTACACACCTCAGTCTTACTCCCACCATGAGCACCTCACTGCACCACTAACCTGCACCCAGAAAACACTCCTCACTAACCTCAAAAATGTACCACACGAGCTAGTAACCTTACTTTTTCTTCAATTTATTATGGGAACCACACATCTTGGTACAGCCTACTTACAGGATTAAGATGTAGTGAATATGATTAATGGAGTAAGAGTGAACACAAACAAATGTAAATACAGTCCAAGTGTGTCTACATAAACACAACTACTAAATGTATCATGATAGCTGGCAGTGAAAAGAATACAGTATTACTAAGCTGGGTAAGAGGAACATGGGAGGGTTGTAGAAAAAGAGTGGAAATAATATAAATCATAAAAGATGAACAGTGTAAAATTTACAAGTACAGTACAGTACTGTATGTACTGTACTGAACTGAACTGTACATGTACTGTATTTTGTTACTATCCTAAAAGTGAAACACTAAATTCCAATATGATACAAATTAAAAATAAATAATACTGTATTCATAAAGCTCAATAAAGATTATACGAGTATGAATGAAGTACTCAATACCATTCAATGATTTTCAGGTAATCATATTTGATCTGCAAGACCCACAACAGCGTAACACCCTCTGGTAGGGCCTACCTATTTTACTAGTGTTTTGACATGTCAACTACAATAGTAGAAGACATCATCCATGTGGAAAATTTTGTTAATGCAAGCAGTTCCTCACCCAGTCTAATCAGGGTTGAATCAATGACTCATAACTCGGATGTGTTGGTTGCTTCAGGACCAGTGATGCTTCCAGTAAGGAACCAAAACCTTCTGGTAGGCTCATGTATGTTTGACCATAAAAGAGCTCATACCTCAATCTTCTTATTTCCTGCCAATTTGAAACTTCAGTAAAGGAGGAGAAAGAAAGCAAGTCACTCATTTGAGCCATAAAAGAGGATTTCATACCTTAATCCTTTATTTAAACCTTACAGACCATCATAAGGAAACTGTGAGAAGGAGAAAGAGGTGGAAGTCATGTGGTATTACTGAATACGGGGTCCGGACAAAACCCCTGCAGGACAATAACCCCTCAAGTAAAGTGCAAAGTAGGACAAAACCCCCTTTCTGTAGACGTCGGACATTACGCTTCACAGAATCAAGTCGACCAATTGCACAATGAACTTCAAGTGGTTGTTGACATATAGCGTCTGTAACGATATGAGCAGGTCTGCCTCTGTTGGTCAAAGCAGCTGTCTTTATGATGTTCTTCACTTTAGCTGCCTTCACCTTGTTAGGATCTGGGTCATGTCTGTGTTCGGTCACAGAAGGTAGTTGCTTTACCTCCAAATCTGTATGAGCACAACCTTTGCAAGAAGGTGCATTCCTCTGAGAATATTCCCTACATATTCGTGTACTGTTGGAACTCTTCTTGGTGTATAAGTAGCCTTCTGCGCACAGTTTGGAACCTCCTTTATTGTTCCTGATGATCTCCATGGTGGTTGAAGAAAGACTGATTTTTCGGGTCACTCAGAAAGTATAATCAATTTTTAAAAACACTACAAAGCTCACAAAAACAGTATATTCCCACCAGACAGTTTAGATCACGTAATAGCGACCCAAAACGATGCTTCAGATTGGATGTGGCAGCTTTATATACACATTTGACTTGACCTACCCAGCAATGACCTGAGGTTAATTCTAATTTAATCCCTGACAAGCCGCTAAGATACCAGGATAGATCGCATGACCACTAAATGGTGACCTGACAAGGTGGTTACCTCTTGAAGGATTACTCAAGTAGACAAAACAGTGATCAACTATATTTTTAGGATTGCTTCATTACAAGGTATTTAAACTGATTTAATTTTTAATTATTTATTATTAAAAATTATATATTTTATTTTTTATTTTTAAAGATGCCCTCTTTAAAATTATTAAAATGGACTTAAAGTCTGAAAATAGAAAAATGGGGAATTTTTCCTATTTTTTTTACTCTTTTGTTCTACTTTGCACTTTACTTAAGGGGGTTTTGTCCTGGGGAGGGTTGTCCTACACTCTACTAAATACAGTACAGTAAAACTTCTGCATTCTCAAGGGTTATGTTCCTGGAAAGACTCCGAAATAGAGAATTCATAAACACAGATGTCTTAGTTCAATAGGAAAAGGGGGATTAGGTTTCTGGGTCAGAGTGAACAGGGAAAGGAAGGGCACACATTTGCTCTCTGCACCAAATAAGATTCAACTGCCTGGTGAGCCAGTCTGCACAGTAAGTGACTATTGCCACCATCAATCTTCCAATACAGTACACAAATACCAAAGTAGATAATACAACTAAACCTCTAAAATCCCATCATTCTCAAGTCGTATCACCATCACCATTTTACAGCCATTTTCCACGCTTGTGCAGATTAGCCATATCTACCTGGTGGAAATTCTTCAATCTGCACGGTCTCTTGCAGCCTCTCATCAGTTTTTTACCCGATTTCATTTCTCACAATCTCTCCCCATTTCATTTTTGGCATACCCCTTTCTCCCCTCCCCTCCACTTTCAAATTCATGCATCTCTTTTACCCAACTGGTCACCTCTATTCTGTCTACATGCCCAAACCATCTAAGCCTACCTCCATGCAAAACATCATCAATACTCTCAATCCCTAGCCACCATCTTAGCTCTGAACAATTTCATATCTCTTAACA